TGTATGTACCACACATACGTCAGCTTGTGTGAAAGCGAGACAAGATGATTCGATTTGGTTACTTTGAATCTACTTTTGGGACAGTATTTAAAATAGCTTAACATTATCTTTTTTAGAGGTGCAAAGATAAAATGTAGTTATTTATAATCTATTGCATTTTTACAACTGATATTAATATTTTTTATCATTCACAATATAAACTTATTTGTAAACAATTATTTGACTGAAACTTGCCTTTTTTTAATCCTTTTATCGTATTAATAACATAGATATGAAGAAAAATTAATGACAAACCTATTAATTGGAATATCTACGTATTTAAAAATGTTATTGTTCATTAAAAATAATCATTTACCTCGACAGGAATTATTATACCACCAAATAAATTATATATTTTCCGATAGCTGCTAAAAGAGCTGCTTTTTTATAACAATGATAATACAACATATTAAATAACATCAATAAACTTTCTCGTCATTTCAAGAGCATTTTTTATATCACGAGAAAATTTACTCCCTCACGAAAGCAATTTTTTCACAATTTCTACGACAGAAATAACCGTTGAGTGATCAATGATATAACCAAAATAAAATATCATGAAACCACAAGCGTATTCGCCAATTTTCCCACAGACGCTTCAGTGTCCCACCCTCCCTTTTTTCACTATAAACATCATCCAAATATTATTCAAGTCCTAAGAGCATATTTACAGTGGCTGAAAGTGTCTCTTTTGAAATTACTTGAATGCCAAAAAAGAAAAAAAAATTATACCAAAAACTTTTCATAAGAACGAATGTGTCAGAAGCCGGGCGCTACTGAAAATTTTGACCGATCGCTTGCTCATTGTCCCGATGACAAATCACCGCGGCAGGGTGCTCGCCGAGAATCGCGCAATTTCTCCCTCACAATTTGTCTGTGACCTCCTGCCGTATACGCCTTTTCAGCGAGATGTTTTCGTAGGAGGCACGCGACGCCAAAGATAACCGATTACCTTCTTCTATTTTCATATATCTTTTTGAGGTTTTAAAGAAAGGAGACTTTTTTTTATAGTAAGTATACGCGATCGATTAATTTCACAGTGAGATTTTTTTAGTCATCAATTGAATTGATACGAGACTTTGTGGCGAGGAAAAATTATTGTCAGTGGAAGCAAAATAAGGATTTATATTGTTAGGTAAATTATGGAATTATGGGATATGGATATTTTAAATAATGTTCTACGAATTTATATTAAAATTTTGACTTTTGGAATTTATTTTACAGTTTCTACAACTTTATGTTTCATGTATACAAGTATGTAAATATCTTTTTTGCCCAGAGACCCGAAAGTAGCATTTCTCTGGCTGATGCTTGGTTGGTAATATGCTAATTTTGGGCTCGGTTGACAATAAAATAGTATACAACACACGCTCGGGGTATTGGCAAGCCTATAGCACGTGTTTGACAGCTTTCGATGTCGTTTTACGCGTATTGTGAACTCGGCAATACTTTACCGGTCTTGCGTTGTAATCTATTATTTATATATGCAAATGAAAATATCTTTCATTATTTTGTTGTAGTAAGATATCATTTAATTCTTATATATTGTATTAACTACAGCAAATCAATTGCAGTAAACCAGTTGTTTGTCTGTTGAACATTTTCAAAATAACAATATCAGCGTAACAATAGACAAAATTACATCATTTTCCAAAGCTCTCCTTTGTTCCTTAGTGCGCCTACATAATTCTTGTACGAAATTTACAAACAGAATTTAATCTTTGGAGTTCCCCCTTCGCCCGATCAAGATATAACTGTCCAGCTTAATTAAGTGTAGAGAGAAAATGGCAGAAAGAACTATTCGTCAGTCCACAATCAAGTACTTGGTAATGAAAGCGACTTCTCTTTCTCTCTTTCTCTTGCTCTCCCACGCATAGACTATCCGTCATTTCAAGTAGAAGTACGTGGGACTGGACGTTTTCGTACAACAAAAGAATCAATCTTCTGCCAAAATCATAGATGTGTGTCCTTTTTGCTAACACTACAGAAGTATACATATGATTAAAATGAAGAAAATTAGGGGTTTCTAGGAAGCAGTCTTTTATAGATCAATTTAAACGAGGTGTTCAATACTGATAAATTAATAAATTTACAAATTTTAAATGTTTCTCTATATAAAAGAGGCCTTATGTATCATCGACGATTACTAATTGTTATGACATTTTACATCCTGATATTATAAAATCATGAAAATACTAAAGGCAAAGGGCATAAAACTTAGACATTAGTCCAAGTTTAAATTATTGGCATGCCTAGCGCCATTTTCAGTGGCAACAAGCATACACGGAGGTGCTCGTGCGATGGCAAACAAAACACAGCTCGACAAAAGCACTCGCTTCTCGCGCGCAAGACCTTGTAACATATATGCGTATGATCCCTAGTATACGGTAGCTTCAGCAATAAAAACGTTAGGCCGAGTATACGTCAAGTATGGCAAAAGCATCGCGCCACTCGAAGCGAGGGTGGACATTGTGAAAGCGTGGCGATAAATCACGATACTCCACCCCCATATTGGATGAATGTCCAGCAGCAGCACGGGTTCCTCTTAATGACAGCAGTGCCAGAGTTTAGGTGTCGAGGGTCCAATCGAGGGGAAGAGGGCTTTCTTTTCTTTCTCATTCTTTTTCTTTGGCGCGTACGCGCGAGATATTGAAAGAGGGAGAAGCGATGATGGTCAACCGTTTTGCGGCGCGCAGCTTTGCCGGAAATTGGGCCAATACTACATACGTGTGAGTGTGCGTGTGTGCTTTTTTCAATGGCTGTTTACCAGAGCATTTTAAACGGAACTATTCACGTGCGTGATCATTGGATCTAGTTTAGGTTTTTCTGCGGTATAGGGAAAAAATCGTTGCAGATGGTAGACGTTATCTAAAATCGATTGATCACTGTAGAAAATCGCTCGATTGGATTTATGGATAATATTTATGAAAGATAACTCTAAGATAACTTTACTAACTCGATACATTACTTTTAGACACTGAAAAACTCTCGAAATGTTGTTGTATTAACAAAAATTGTCTTTGTTGTAGAACATATTTCTTAATTTGAGAGAGAATATTTCAATTGACGGTATCGAAGTAAGATAACTTTTAATTGAAGAAAATGTTTCTAAGAATTGCAAGCTGGTTAAATGATTCAACGCTTGAAATGCTCATTAGATTAAAGTAAAGGCAGCTTGCAAAAGTCGCAATCCACAGTAAACAATGCTCGTCAAAAAGGCCAAAAGACAAGCAAGCAAAGCCACGTCAAGCACTTACAAGAGACAAGGATCGTCAGGCGAGCGGACCACGAGTGACAAAAGGGGAGGCAGAACAGTGGGGTATATGCCAGACGCACGTGCTCGTGTGTCCTTTTGTCGGTCGATGCACGATGACTTTTCGGTATACGTCTGTACATGCGGTATTGCAGTGCACTCGAGAGGAAAAAAAGTCATAGACCAGTCGAGCAGCACATCTGCTCTGGGGGCCGGCAACGAGGCGCGCAACGCCGCCCAGGGGCTCGACGGGGGCCGTGCAAAAGGGCCGACGCGCCATTCTTACACGTGCGTGTGTCGCTCGCAACGATTGCAATTTTTTCATTGATCGTTCGCCATTGCTGCGATTTTTCTTCTTTTCTTGTCAGTTGCGACAATTCAAACTTTATCACCGACAACTGTGCCTGGTAGCCGAATGTGGTACCACTTATCAAGTGTCTTGGAAAGGTCGCTTTGTCCGTATGATTTAGCCTAGCAGTCGCAAGTAAAGGCAGACACTTATCCGATTACAACTATATAGATTAGGTTTTATGCACTTCACTCGTAAAAACTGATTGATCGACCAATTCAATCCCAAATTACTTGTTGTTTATGACTTAGTCGCACGGAAACTACTTAGAAGAGTCACATTTGTGAAAAATGCAAGGTAAACTCTTATTATGATAAACGAACGCATTTTCGCTCTAAGATAGTGGTTGAGTATTTGTCTGTAACGACTCACCTATGAAAAAGAATAATTTAGTTGAGGGACGCTACAATGAATTAGCAATTTTATTATAAATAAATTTATATAAATGTAGAATATCTAACTCGTGATTATTTTTTTAATAACCAAACCAATTATTCAATAGAAAAGACAATTATAATGCTGTGGAAATGATCTTTCTAATAAGATTGGAAAAGGAATGAATACTGAAATGTACGAAATTACATTTTACAGCAAATTTGTTTCCTGAATTTAATCAGTACCATATAATTGATCGTAAAATAATGTCAACCAATTCTGAAATAAATCTAAATTTTCATTCTATGCAAACTATAAGATATATTTAAAAGCAGTAGGGTACGTAAGCCCCATTTTCATGATTCGTTAGTCTTGTTTATTCTCTTAATTATAGAAACCTCTATCATGTGCCTTCCACATTTGCCTTCTTTTATTTAGTCAATGTTTTCGTAGACAATATCTATGTGACTTTTATCCGTTTTATCAGCCGATGAAGTTGCTGAAAAATCATTTCAAATGGCATCAAATCGCCATTCAACGACCAGCACTGATAAAATAAAAGAAATTCGGAAAAATGCAGCCGAAAGAACGAGAAACGTAGCGCTACGCGTGAGTATCTATTCCTCGGACAAAGTACATCCCCCTCTTCGAGTTTCCCACTCCCTCGTACAGATGCTATTGTGATACTCACCCCGTAAAGCATGGGCCTAGCGTCGTGCCTAGAAAAAAGAAGGCAAGGAGAGGGGCGCGTTTAGATCCCCTACCATGAGTATCCCCTTTAGCAATCTTCCAATAGAACGTACCAAGGGGTGGGACATAGCTTTAAAATCAAGCAGTAATGCTGCAAGCAGTCAGTTCGCTCACGCGCCTCTTCGAGAGCAGAAGCAGTAGCGAGCTTCCTCCCGGTAACTTGGAACTTTGATTTTCGTCTTGAGTTTTTGAGTTTCCGTCTGTGCAAGTGTAGTCGTTGTGGAAAAGTGCAAGATGCACGTCACCGTGGAGAAGAGTAACACTCCATTTTTCCGCCCATGGAAGCACGAACAACGGGAGGAACGCGACGACGAGCCATCGGCCTTCAGCCCGATCGAAACACGACGTTCGTGTTCGGTTAGCAGCGAAGATACTAGTAGCAATGGGAGTAGCAGCTTGCTACAGCTGCGCAACTTCGTCGACGAGAAGACAGCGATCGACGAGCAAGATGCTCCACTCTGGCAAAGTTCTAGGGCGACCACTTGCTGCCAACTACCAGCCACGGCTTACAATCACCACTCATCGGCACTCTTCAATGCCGATTACTCGTGGCTCGCGTCCAGTTATCAAAGTGTTCAGGATGCTGTCCACAGACTTAGCCAGCAGGATGCAGCTGCTAAGCAACTGAAAAAGCTCCGTCCCAAGAAGTTCAAATGCGAGTACTGTATGGTGGCGTTTAGCAATAACGGCCAACTTAAAGGCCATTTGAGGATTCATACCGGTAAGTTGAAGCTTGTTTTGCCTCACTTTGTTCCACTTCTAAATTAAAATAAGTTTTTTTTCGACTTTTTTACGCTGCCGACGGATGATAATTACCTTTGTAAACCAAGTCGTAATTTTTCATTCTAGTCTTCCAAAAAGCTCAATTAAAACGCCTTTAAAACTAATATTTGTACGCCTATCATTGCAAAGAGAAAACATACAGCAATCTAACGTATCAATTTGTTTTTATGATTGCAGGCGAAAGACCATTCAAGTGTGACACGGAAGGTTGCGGCAAATCATTCACACGCAACGAAGAGCTTACGCGGCATAAACGTATACATACGGGCCTCCGTCCTTATCTATGTGCAGTCTGTCGCAAAGGATTCGGTCGTAAGGATCACTTAAAAAAGCACAGCAAAACTCATGACGCGCGACATGTCATACCTGGTTACCATCAGCAACTTGCAATGGCTGCCGTCGCTGCGTACGCTGGCTATCATCATCCGACGGCGCTACCTTATGCGCTCGTTTAGGTGTTCATTTGAATTTTGCGCAAGAAATAAATATAAAGGGGTGTATTTTTTATAAAAATTTTAATTGGCGGAGGTTAAACCTATTCTCACATATATACCTCATTGCGAATCAACGAAGGTACAAAGCGATATTGCCTCCAAGAGATTATTTGTAAATACATATAAATTGTACATATATATATATATTTATATAAATATAGCTAAATATTTATTTATACATACAAATATATTGATATAGATTTTATGAAATATTTAAATATGTGTTTTGTGAATAGTTATTTATCCCCAATTCGTAATACATTTACTTTGCATTTCTATCTATGTTTTAACAAAAAGGTGTCATGTTTTATTGCATTTATATTTTCTTGTCATTGTTTGTTTGGTTATATATTGATTTGTAAATTTTAACAAATACATCGTCAAGAAACTTCTCAAACTCATCCTCAAGTGTGCGCCCTGTGCGTTAGAACGAATGAAAATTTTTTAAAGAAAAGGGGACTCATTTTGTTCGTTGAAATCTATTATCAAGTTATTTTTTAGTGAGTGATTTCCTTACAATTAAATTTGAATAAATTAGTTTTTGGACTAAAATATCATTTTATTGAACAAATGTTCCACTCATTTCGGAAAGTAAAAGTCCTAATGAATAAACTGAGTCTCCTAAAACTGACTTGCTTTACTCTGATGTTTAGAATCATATACGACGCTAAATTTGAGATACCACATTGGATGGTCCTCTTAAATTTCAATTTTACATACATCAGCGTGTCTAAGATTATATCAATAATCTATTAATAATCAAAGGAGTCTTATATTCTTCTTGATCGAAAATAAACAATTCTAACAAAATTAAATTCACCAAACAATACATTTCAGAACTTAGAATCGAGCTCCAGCTTAGTCTCCAGCAGACATTTGCACTAATCTACGATAGTCTGTGAGTGAAAGCATTATAAGCCCAAAAACTTGCGACGCCACCATTTTCCCGTCGATTAAATCTAACATGGCGTCGCCGTGGATAGAACGCTCGCTCGAGGCAACCGACCAGTTATATATCTCCCCGCCTGCCTGCTTACCACCCCACAAAACTCGCCAAGCGACCCTTCGTGTTTTGTCCCCTTGACTCTGTTATATTCTGCGGTTGGCATACGTGCGCTTTTAGCTCGTTCTCGACGAAAACCTTGATATTCTACACTTTTTCTGGGCGACTACAGTATTACTTTTACGTCTTTAAAAATAGTTCATGAATATTTTATGTATATGTACTAAAAAATCACTTCACGGACTATATGTTCAAGCGCATATGCTTTTAATTTTACATTCTTGTAAATATAGAAACAGAGAAAATTCCATAGAGTTTATTGTACACATATTCCGAAACTTGAGTTAACATGAATAAAAAACATCTTAAGATAACGAAAACAGACTAATATATTTAGAAATGTATAAAAAAATAATCTTCCGTAGTAAATGGTTGCTTTTGAAGAGGACCAATCAATGTTGAACATTGAGAGTTTTCAACGTTGGCTTTTGGAAGGAAATTTGATGCCGAATATTTTTACAAACTGACATAGACAATTTCCAATGGCTACTGTTTAACATTGCTTAGTCCTCGTCATAAATTTTCAATCAATTTATAATTACGACAAAAATAAATACTTAGACGACAAATGTATATCTCAAATCTTACTAACTTACTACATAGAATTTACGTAAGTCTCACTTGGAATTTAACCATTAAATATCTTTTCTACGAATTCCAATTCAGAAAAAAATTACATCATCAGTTATTTTTCATACTAAACATGTTTTAATTACTTTGCTTAATAAATTTTAATCCAAGTTTGAAATTACAATGGAAGTATCTTATAGTCTGTAAATACAAGTCATTTCAGAGCGTATTTCAAAGTAAATTTTCATTGTTGAATAAAGTGACGAGAAATTTTATACAATACAACTAGTGTGAGTGATATGTTCTCAAATGAACTTGTTACTTTGTCTTCAACGTATTAAACGAAGATATGTGTCAATTCTATGTGTAAAAATGATGTTACAGAGCTAAACCTAAACTATGCAAGTCTCAAACGACGAAAAAGTAATGTCATTGAAAACTTTTAACAAGTCAACAGCGAAGTATTCACTAACTTAAGTAGAAAAAAACAAATCTAAGGAAAGGTTTTAAATTCTATTCCTGTTACATGAAACATTAAGGATTACGTTTTTAACTTCTATCTCGTGATCACCATCCCTATCCTTTCAGTCTTGCTCTCTCCACTTCAATTAAGTGGGTCTCTCTAGTTTGCGCCCCAAAACCGCAAGCCCCGTCTTTCTCCGAACATAGCGCCCGCCTATGTATGTCGAGGGGCCGTGTGCTATGGTCGATCTTTTGCGGTGAGGAAATATAGATATGATGAAAAAGAGGGTTGGATTATACGCAGAGGGAGAAAAAAAATTTTTTTTTGTCAATGCGTAAATAACACGACCGCAATTAATACTGGAGGGGAGGTGCTGATTAATATAGCGATTGCGTCGTATATTATATCTGCGCTTCATATATTGTTAATTGCGTATAGAAGAGGCTTAATAAAGTTATATAAAAATTATTTATTTTAAAAATATAATAATAATTTATGTACTTTTAAAAATCAATTTTTATATGCAAACGTGACACTACCATCTTCGATTTATAGTACTAAAACCGTGAGAAATATTGATACCATAACTTATTTATATATTGCACGCATGATGCAAAAACGTAAAATCGATCTTTTCGGAGTAGTTCCACATCGCGTACCTACAATATAAAGGATACTTGAAAGAATTCGAAATCTTTAATACATATGTTAAAAACATAGAATATTACTTTTTTAATTTTTATTTTTCATATGCGCACAGGCATATATTCGTAAATTTTCATAGCTTCCGTTTTATTGCCGTTTTCATAGTATTGAAGTGAATAGTTAATATGAAATTTTTGTTGATAATTTGCAGGTCGTCAAATAAATAATTTACTGTAAAAAGCAATATGAATAATTAAACACAGAAAAATTTGATTTAGTTAAAAAATAGGAAAAGGAAATAAAATTGATAGCATAGCCGAATAATGGAAGCTTCTACTTGTACGAATTAAAAAATATTGAATTCAACGTATGGGGATATTAAATATTCAAAATTACCTTCTAGACAATCAAATATATTCTAGCCTTATCAGCAAACTATTAAATTTACTTAAAGTAAAGAGTGACGTTATTGTTTTTACCAATCATGGAACGTCTACTGAAGTCTTGTTATTTATAGTTTGATTGTAGGTCTAGGTTATAAGGTTGTTATAAAGTAGAAACTAAGTTCATATGTACATCCAAACCCACATTGAAACTAGCTGTACGCTAAAGTTTGGAAGATGATAATAATGAATGAATATATATATATAAAAAAAATATATATATATATATGCGTAGAAAACTATATTACATTTTGTGTTTCTGTTTTATTTTTTATCATATTTTTGCAATTTTCTAATAATTTTTTATGAAATTTTCAAATGATTAAAACTTCATTGAGAACATTTTTAAATCATAAGTCAACGTGGTTGGGTAGTTATTTATCAATACACAGCTCCGAATCATCATTATAACGTATTTTAAATTATGAGAAATATTTAACTCATAGCGAATTTGAGAAATTTGAGTTTCTGTAATAAAAGTATTGAATTACTTATTCATTAAAATGAATATTTAAAAAAACAAAACAAATGAGTATACTAGGCATCATTAACAAGATATATTTTTCAATCTGATGCTCTTTACAGATTTCATTTATTATCCTTAAAAAATTATCTCTAATAAAATAATTCCGTGGTTGGTAACCATTATGTAAAAGCTTTGTATTTTCCACTTATTTTCCCGTTGACATAGTAAAATTTAGACAAATAAATTACACCAAGAAAAATTTATCTAGAAAGCGAGAAATGGCTGAGTTTATCGTACCATGACATCTTCGCTTTTAATTAGGTTCTTTCATAAAGTTACAGTCAATGACCACTTCAAACAACAACACCTATAAAATTAAACATTTTTATACTACGACGCCCTGTATAAAACCGGACAGTTGAAAAAGGGCGATTACTATACTCTGACAAGATTAATAATCTCACACCAAATATTTTAATATTTAGCCGAGCAATATAATAAGTTATTCTAGGCTGATTTTAAGTATTACAGCTAGATACATAATCGGCAAAAAGGTGCTGTGTACAAACGTGTACAAAAGCATCGAAAGCGGCGTTCCCCAAAGTGTGAGAGTTCATGAACCCCCACTGTGTAGACAGTTACTATACTCGTAGATACGCTTAAAGCCTTGTGACGAGATGAACAACTTTACACCAGGAAGATGTTGCACTTGGATTATGCGTTGAATGGATGGCAATTTTACATAGGAATTGTACGCCAACTTGTGAAGATGACAAAAGATATAGGAAATTTTTAAAATTTTTTATTTTTCAGGCATTTTTATTGCACAGGCATGTATTCATAAGTTTTCATAGCTTTCATTTCATTGCCGTTTTCATTGTATTGAAGTGAAGAACTAGTATCAGATATTAAGACTTTGCAGATGATGAGATAAATTATTCACTGTAAAAAGCAGTGTTGATGATATGAATTATTTTGATTTTATTTTGCAGTCTTAAAAATGTGAATCTAAGTAATTTTACGAGAAATATTGAACTCAGAAATTATCTATTTAGGTGATATAAATGGAGCGATATAGAAAACCTAGTAAATGCTGTTGATTGGCTAAATTTAAAAAGTTGTATGTTGAGAGAAAGAAAATATAAAAAATATTTTTATTTTAATAAAACCGACTTTAAATTCATTTTTTGTAATTATGCTTTATATATGTATATTCTTTTAAATAATTCAACCCCCATTTACAATGATTGAATTATTCTAAAGATATAAGCTGACGTACATAAAAATAAAGTAAAATACCAATTCCTTTCC